AAAAAGTTTGTTGACTCCTGATCTACAAAGATATACATAGGAAGGAAACACAAAACTGAAATAGGCACTAACATATACAGTAATTCTGACAAGTAAACTTGAGAAAATAACCAGAGGTACACAAATATTTGTGTACTAGGATGTTAATCGAGACAGTATTTACAAAAGCAAAAAATTCAAAGCAATAAACATGTCCAACAAGGCATTAAATAGATAATTGTATATTCACGGAAATGTATGGAAAGATATGCAAGCAAAATAATCCAAAGAATCATTAGCAACCTGAAAATGCAGTGTATAAACATATTCAGTATAATCCCAATTCTTTAAAATTATGCACACAAAATATATCCCATCACTAAAAGCAACTATTTCTGGGTAGTAAAATTAAAGGTGGTTTTTACTTTTTTCTTTATATTTCTATATAAGCTGCATTATGTGATTTAGAAATTATTTATCTAAAGTGGGAGAAGCAACTATTTCTGGGTAGTAAAATTAAAGGTGGTTTTTACTTTTTTCTTTATATTTCTATACAAGCTGCATTATGTGATTTAGAAATTATTTATCTAAAGTGGGAGAATAGTATTGATTTTTTGAAGTCTTTATCTCTTAGAAATATAGACTAATTTTTACAGATAAAATGGCGTGTCTGAGATGTGCTTCAAAATAATCTGGGACGAATGTATAGATAAAACAAGATTGGCTATGTATTGATAACTGTTGAAGCCTGGCTATTGGTAAATTCATTACTTTCTTCACTCTTCTGTATGTTTGTAACTTTCAAGGATACAATTAAAAAAACAAAAACAAAACTGCTTTGTCTTTTCGGAAACATAATAAACAGCCAACTCATCAAAGCTGGTTTTATCGTTCCTAAGACTATCTGTAACATTATATAAGAAATATACCAAACAATTATTGGGTCAAAGAGTAAATTAAAAGATATCCTGAGACAAAAAAAAAAATGGAAACACAACACACCAAAACTTATGGGACACAGCAAAAACAGGAAAAAAAGAGGGAAGTTTATAGCATTAAATGCATGCATCAAAAAAAGATCTCAAACAACCTAATGTTACACCTAAAAAATGAGAAAAAGAACAAACTAAACTCAAAGTTAGCAGTAGGCAGAAAATAAAGATCAGAGCAGAAGTAAATCAAATAGAGACTAGAAAAACAATAAAAAGTCAATGAAACAGTTGTTTTTTTGAAAAGCTAAACAAAATTGACAAAACCTTACCTACACTAAGAAGAGAGAGAAAGCTTAAATAAATAAAATCAGAAATGACAGAAGAGGCATTACAACTGATACCACAGAAGCACAAAGGATCGTAAGAGACTACTATGAACAATAATATGAGGGTACTTCAAAAAGTTCATGGAAAGGTTCGCATTACTTTTCAATTATATTTTTCCATGAGCCTTTTAAAGTACCCTTGTATGCCAACAAACTGGATAACCTAAAATAAATGGGTAAATTCCTAGAAACATATAACCTACCAAGACATGAATCACAAAGAAACAGAAAATCTGAACAGACCAATACGAGTAAGGAGATTGAATCAGTAATAAAGTCTCTCATCAAAGAAAAGACCAGGATCAGATGGCTGTTGCTGCTGAATTCTACCAAACATTTAAAGAAGAACTAAAAGCAATACTTCTAAACACTTTTAAAAAATTGAAGTGGAAGGAATACTTCCAAACTAATTTTACAAGACCAGCATTACCTTAATACCAAAACCAGACAAGAACACTACAACAAAGAAAACTACAGACAAATATCCCTGATTAACATAGATGCAAAAATCCTCTACAAAATACTAGCAAACTGTATTCAACAGCTCATTAAAAAGATCATTCACCATGATCAAATGGTATTTACCTCTGGAATGCAAGAATGGTTCAACATGCACAAATCAATGTGATTCACCCTGTTAACATGATGAAGGAAAACCATATGATCATTGCGATAGATGCAGAAGCAGCATTTGACAAAATTCAACATCCTTTCATGATAAAAACTCTCAACAAAATAGGTAAAGAAGGCATTTTCCTCAACACAATAAAGGTCATATATGACAAGCCTATAGCTTATATCATACTCTGCTGAAAAGTTGGCTTTTCCTCTAAGATCACAAACAAGATAATGGATATATTAATTAGCCTGATCTGCTCATTCCACAATGTATGTACAGGTATTGAAACATCACATTGTATCAATAAATATATACAATTATTTATCAATTAAAAATAAAGTTAAAATAAAAAAAGAAATATATGTATTTATTCTTGGTTCCCAGTTCCTGACACAAGAGCTAGAGCTTGTAAGACCCTTGGAATCACCTGAGTGAAAAGCTTGTCTTTTTGTATGGTGATGAGGTAACTGGTGGCTGGGGCATCTAGATAGCTTCTGTAAGGAAGAGAAATGTTATTCCCTCAATATTTCACAGAAATGAGAGAACACAGCATAAAGAATGTGACTGACAACTGGCCTATTAATTCTTCCTGGACCTTTCATTATCTGTACTAGCATTAACCTTTGATATTCCATCAGGATCCACTGACACCAGTTTAAGTTTCTGAATTTCTTTTTTTGAGCAGTTCTATTTATAAGGACTGATATGTCATGATTTTTATTTTCTTAGCAGTTCTTCAGAGAAAGAGAAATTTTCCAAAAGAATAAAATGCATCCTATTTTACAAAACACACAGGCCCTTTTGACCACTTTAAGGTCCAAATATTTATGGGACATTATCTTATTTTCCTTATATCTGGAAACATTTTGCAATTTCATCAAGCCAGGACTGCATCATTACTCATGAATTATTCCCAACTACATTAACAAAAGTATGACAAATAACCTAGAAAGAAGATGTAATACTGAAACAAATTGTCATTCTTCATTCTTACTGCACTGCCCAAAATATTTTATCATTTTTCAAGAAGGTATAAAAGAGAGGAGACACCATCTTTGTAGTCTACTTTTATTTTTTTTTTTGTCCTTTTTGAGACCGGCCGCACCGCGCTCAGCCAGCGAGTGCACTGGCCATCCCTATATAGGATCCGAACCCACGGCGGGAGCGCTGCTGCACTCCCAGCATCGCACTCTCCCGAGTGCACCACGGCCTCGGCCCAGAATTCATAATTTTTCATTTTCCATTCATGAGAAAGAGAAGAAAGTTCACAGAGGAAGATGTTTTCAAATTACTAGATAAATTAGGAGATAACAGAGATAGACACAGCACCACTCTAGACACTGATAGTGATAAAACTGATCGTACAGTGTAAGAGAAATCTCAGCCTCAGTCTTCATATGACCATAACCTAGAATTTTCTCAAACTCAAGAATCAAGTTATGAACAATATATTTCTTTTTTTTTTTCCTTTTTTCGTGTCCAGCAACGGATCGCAACCCTCAGCGTCGCGCCCGTACCGGACCGGGACCGGCAACGGGATCGCAACCCTCGGTGTTGCTCCCACACCTCGCTCAGCCAGTGAGCGGGAACCGGTCTGTATGTGGGATCCGAACCCTTGGCAGGAGCGCCACCGCGCTCCCAAGCGGAGCACTGTAGCAGTGCGCCACCAGGCCGGCCCATGAACAATATATTTCTAAGGACCAAAAGGAAACATGATATTCTTACCCCATCGGTCATGCAAATGGAAGGATTTCATCATGCAGTATTTTTCAACAAGAACCTGGACCACCTCATTTTGCTAAATGGGTGTGACAGTATTCTTTACCTTTTATGAAGCTTGTGCATCAAAATTTATGTGCTACAAACGTTTCCTGCTTAAGTTCCTACTACAATTTCTAATAAAAAAACTGAAGGGTCCATTGGACCAAGATGGTAAATGGTGATAAAGTTTCCCTGTTTACTGAGAGATCAGCATTATATTATTTTCAGGGAGGTAAACCTTGCTTCAGAGAAGGCTCAAAAGCATGGAGTGTCAAATACCATACAAGTTTAAGATATAAAAACCAAACTTTATAAATATGTGTAATTTATAGAAACAAGGTTCATAAATCTTTTTTTAAAACTTGACAAAATCCAGTGCTTTGTATTTTATCCTGGCTCACATTACCCCTACCTTAGCTTTATGGTCACTCAGGCTCTCTTCATTCCGTCTGCTTCAGGTTAACCCCTCCACATGTGATTTTGGTCCTCTTTTGGGATTTTCTGCCTACAAATAAATGCAATGCACCCTGTGTCTGAGACAAAATGACCAACTACTCTCAACTCTGACTCCTCAGTCTATTTCTCTCTCTTAGCCAATAATATCCTTCTAGAAAAGGGGGCAACAACTCACTACATGGTCATACTCCCCATTTCTTTCATTATTCAGTCCACTGAATTCAAGCTTCTATGTCCTCTCCTCCTTTGTTCTAATGATAACACTTCCACTAAGGTTATTAATGGCCTAGTTGCAAATCTATGCCAATATTTTTTTCAAAAACTGTAAAGAAAAGTTACTAAAACATTATATATTCTAACTCAATAGAATTTTAAACATAATTACTTATTATGAAACTATTACAGAAGAAATCATGAAAAAATATGAAACCACAGGAAATACAATCTCCAACAATTATACACAATTTAGATTGTATTTAGGGCTTATTATATGTCAAATACTGTTCTAATTGCCTCACATATATTAAACCATTTGATTCTCACAAATAACACTGTACACTGGCCAGCTGCCAAAAAAACCAAAAAAACCCCACAAATAATGCTGAGGTAGTATTATTATCCCTGTTTTACACATGAGGAAACTGAGGCACAGAGATATTAAGTTACTTATCCAAGGTTACACAGTTAGTGGCAGAGCTGTGATCTAAATTCAGTTTAATTCTAGAGCCTACACTTAATCTCTACATTATACAGCTTTCTGCAGTTAGGAGAACTACAAAAATGATCATTACAAAAAGATATGGCATGATTTTATTATTACTTTCAATTTTTTCCATCACCATGAAAATAACTAAAATAACACACAGCTTTACAAAAATAAATTTTTATTAAAAGCAGTAGAGTCTGAGCAGGAAGACAGTACAAAGAATGTAAACAATGTAAACATCACTACATTCAGCTCAGCCTGATTGAAAGCTGAAAGACAACTCTAAATGCTCTATGTGCCCTTACTAGCAAGATACATTAATTCTATTTTACACAGACAACAAGTCTAATTTTGATTAGGACAAAGTATTTTATCGAAGTCGATCCCAGCGCCAAATACTGGCATCATCACAAACAGCTATAAGAATGCTGCTATCCCTGCTAAAACTGGTTTGTCGAATAGCAGCACCACATTTATGATGAGTCAGTGTTGTACATCTAGGGAAAAAACATGACAATGGGTTAAATACCATACATAATGTTGTCAGTACCTACCTTAAAACAGTGAATTGGAAAATAAACAGATATCCCAATATAAAAAGCACTTAAAACTAGAATATACGTCACTAAGAGCTGTTTCAAATTTCACAAAATTTGGGTATATCTTAAATACAAGAGGCACCACATAATTTAAAAAAAAAAAAAAAAAAAACTTGTCACCAAGGTACTCATTAAAAACAATTATTGAAATAAAAAAGCAATACTTTAACTCTGAGACTAGTAAATGTTAAAAATTATTTAAGGATGGCCCTGCAAATATCAATTATTTCCTCTATACTGGCATAAAATTTTGTAGAAAAAGGCAGAAATTTTGAATAGAAGTTTCTAAATACTTACTTGGCTTTATGAGGATCTTCTACTTCTAAATCCCAAACATAAAGTTTGCCAACCTGATTGCCCAATGCAAGCATCTGTATAAACATTTAAAAAAATATCAAATTAATAAAAGCACCAGGCTCTAAAGCATTCAAGCAATCCTAACACATCTTTCTTATTTCAGTGAAACCTCAGCTCCAGCCTCTTGACTCTACTCTTGACTATTTCTTTGGATGTTATATTCCTGATTTGTAAACAGGAACAAGAGCAATTAATACTTCAAACTAAATACTTAAGTAAATAAGAAGGCATTTTGCAAATTTATAAAGGGCTTTATAATTTATATTGTTAGCATGGTACTCTTTCTTCTGCCTTAAAGAATTATAGCAAAAGCTGTGGAAAGCCCTTCCAAAACTTTCTTGTGAAATAAATATCCAGGCAATTTGTTACCACAAAATCCTAACAGAGTTCTTTGATAACTAGTATTTTGTCTCTGTCTTCCACCTTGACTTTTCTCTAAGTTATTCAAGGAAAAACCTACATAAGATTAACACTCTAATCACTAGAACATTAAATATTAGTAACAGGTGTTACACCTAACTTCCATCACTGATAACTGACAATTGCCTTTATCATAAGCACTACAGATGATGTGCAGACCCACAAAGAGAGAGTGAACAACATCAAAGGGCAAAGTAATCAATATAAAACACCAGGGTAGATTCTTAGAGGGAAAAAAACCAAAGAAACAACTTTCAGAAAAAGCTGGAATTGCAATGGTCTTTCATAAGTCAAATAATTTCAAAATGTAAAAATATGATGCTACCTTTTGCCAGAAATCCATAGAAAACCTCATGTACCAAATGTCACATTGGCTGTAATCAAATCGGCCAAGAATAGTCACATTAGACTCACTGGGTTTGATTTTATCTATGTCATCTTCCATTTTGCCAGGTTTCCAGCACACAATGGCATTTTCACAAGACTAAAAAAGAGAAATGAGAAAAAGAAATGTTAATTGTAAAACTGAATTTAAAAAATTAAAAACAAGACTTTTTCACTACTATCATTTTAGAACTGACAGCTCTTAGAATCTGGTTAATCCATCTACTAAGTACAGTGATGTACATTCATTTATATTTACAGTGTCAATGTCCACACTTGAAGATAAGAAATCTGATTATCAACAGAATTAAACAATATAAAAGATTTACACTGTCCAAAATATTTATTTTGGAAGTCACAATTTCTCTTCCAAATTAAACCAAGTGCAGCATTAGATACTTGAGCACCTAGAGACTTGAAGTGTTATAGCAAAACACATAGTATTTATACATAGGACTCTTCATAGTCTGGCCCTTGCTTACTTCACTAGTTTCATCTTTCCGCATTCAATTTCCCATTCCACTTCTAAAAACAGATGGTTCCCTTTACTTTGTTAACTATTTAATCGTTCATCCACAGCGTCTATGCTACATAGTACGTGCTTAATAGATGTCTTAGGAAAGTTGATGAACTCATAAAACGGGCCTTAGAGCTCAGGTAATAAATAGTGCAATAACAGCAATGGTTTAACATGAAGACACTGATATGGGAATGGGATCAAAATAGGCCACAAAGTTACACTTTCCATATCCTATAACATCAAATCTTTGTGCACACACTTCAACTTAAGCAGTAAGTGGTAAAGAATACAATGGAAGAAAAATTGCAAAACTGTGGACACTATTCATGTTACTGTTTAGGTCAGTGGTTTGCTAAGGGACATTTGGCAATGTGCCTTGGCTGCGAGTGGGTAGAGACCAGAGATGCTGCTAAACGTCTTATGATGCACAGGACAGCCCCCTATAAACAAGAATAATCTGGCCCAACCTCAATAGCACCATGATTGAGAAACCCTGGTGTAGGTGAACAGTGCCCCCTATAGTTTTACAGGACAGCCAATACAGTCACAGGTGCTAGCTCTATGGGGTTCACCAGCATTTAAACAGTTTAACAGCAGGGCCACTGAAAGATTAGGAAGATGATAACACATTCTTTTTCTTCTCAACCTTTTTCAGACTTTTGAAATCGAAGCACTATATGATCTGTTATACAAGTTCTTAACTGTAAAGTACCTTAAAGATCACCTAGTTTGATAACTCTTTACTAAGTGCTCAAATGAATCGATAGCCTGTGGAGTTTTCTCAAAAGACTCATCCTGGCCCCAACTCTACTGAATCAGAATCTCAAAGAGGGAAGGTGAAAGAGAAGAACTGTAAAATAGCTCTTCAAGTGCTTCTTACTAACTGCACTGGCAAGGATTCTTAATTGTTAGAGACTCCTCATAGAAAACTAAAGCATAGGGAGGTAAAAAGAATTTGCCAGAGTTAATGGATGGATGGCTGCACTTCAAAATCATCTAGAGAACTTTTTAAAATTACAAATCCCCAGTTCCTTATGTCAGATTTAAAATCTCTGGGGGTGAGGTCTAGGAACCTATTTTTACCATGTTCTTCCAGTGACTCTGATGCAGAGCCTGATTTGAGACCACCAATATAGTTTGGTTCAACATCCCACCTAAGATTTAGAAATCCTTTCCTGTGGTCTCATTAAGTTCTAAGAGCAGAAATTTAAAAGCTGTTGGCTTTTTACTTTTGCTACCAAAACAATGGAGTAGAAGTACTTTTCCCTATTTGTCCCACTAAATATAGCTTAGAAGTATATCATATATGAGGGTACTTCGAAAAGTTCATGGAAAGACTTGTACTATCTTTTAATTCTACTTTTCCATGAGCTTTCTGAAGTACCCTGGTATAAAGCAAACATAAGACTCTGAAAGGTAGAGAAAAGGCAGATGAGTTAGGAATCCCGGAACATAAATGATACAGTGTTGAGTTCCTTGGGTTTTCATTTGCTTTATGCTAGAGAAGGCAGCAGCAACTCAGAAATGCTAATGGGTGAAGACGAAAAAGCTTCAACGAACGTATGCTTTCTCTAGCCAAGGACCAAGAAAGTGGCAGCCTAACAAGATAGAAAATTTTCAGACAACGAATACGCTACTCAGCCAGACACCACAGACAAATCTGTGGATCTATCTCCACTTAGCAAAAGACTAAGAAAGTGGCAGCCTAACAAGACAGAAAATTTTCAGGTAACAAATAGTCTACTCAGCCAAACACCACAGAAAAACCTGTGGAATGTATCTCCACTTGAAGCACCTCAAGTGCAAACCCCTGATTCCCCCATCCCCCCTGTGGTAATATAATGGGGTGACCCTCCTCCTCCTCTCTGGGATGGAACAGAGAAGGCCTAGTAGAGTCCAGACGTTCACAACCACTTGGTGGTGAAGGCCAACACCAACCACCCACAGTGTCAGTGGAGACCACTAGGGCAGCAGTTATGAGGCATCCCAGCCCAACCCAGCTACAGTGCTATCATCTGAGGCCTAGTGGAAAGCCTGAATTCTCACCCCACCCAGCGATAATGAGACACCATCACCAAGTCCACTGAGTGGGAATCTGGACTTACACCTCCACATGGCAACCACAAAGCAGTGCTCCCCTTCCCAGCAAAAAAGGTATCCAAGGAAACCTGCTTAAAAGAAGATCTAAATGAGATCCAGAGTCTCATAATACCCAAGATATCCAGGTTTCAATCAAAAAATCACTCATCATACCAAGAATCAGAAAAATCTCAACTTTAAGAAAACAATCCATCGATTCCAACACTAAGATAACATAGATGTCACAACTATCTGACAAGGATTTTAAAGCAGCAATTCTAAAAATGCTTCAATGGTACAAACAAAAACAAATTCCTGCAAAGAAATAAAAGATATGAAGAATCAAATGGAAATTTTAGAACTGAAAAATACTATCAAAATTAAAAACTCAAATCAGTGTGCTCAACAGCAGAGAGAAAAGAGTCAATAAACTTAATGATAGGACAATAGAAATTACCCAACATGAACAAAAGAGAAAGCAGATTAAAAAAAAAAAAAAAAAAAAGACATAGTCTCAGAGACCAAACGAGAGATCTAACATTCATATGATCAGAGTCCCAAAATGAGGGAAGAGAGCAGGGCTGAAAAAAACTTGAATAATGACTAAAAAGTTCCCAAATTGAGCCAAAAATGTCCCCCAAACATAAAACTACCACAGATTCAAGATGGGTCAGTGAACCCCAAATAAGATAAACCCAATGAAATCCCCTTCAATTCACATTATTCAAACTTCAAACTAAAATATACTCACACTCAATCTGAAAACTAAAGGTGGGGGGGAAAAAAGCAGTAGGACAGAAAGAACACCTTACTGATAGGGGAAAAACAATTTCAATGACAGCAGATTTCTCAACAGAAACTATGGAGGCAAGAGAGAAGGCACAACATTTTTCAAGTGTTACAAGAAAACAACTGGGAAACCAGAATCCTCTATTCTTCAAGAATGAGGAAGTGAGCCATTCTCAGATGAAGAAAAACTAAGAATTTGTCACCAGCACACCTACCCTAAAAGAATAGCTACAGGAAGTTTTCTAAATAAGAAATGATTTAAGAAGGAATCTTGGAATTACCAGTAAGGAAGAATGGAAAGAGCAAATTTGGTAAATACAATACTCTCCTTATCCTCTTTAGTTTTCTAAATTATGTTTGATGGTTGAAGCAAAAATTTCAACACTATCTCATGTGGTTCTGAAATATAAAGTAAATATTTAAGACAATTATATTACAAATGGAGAAGGACAAAGTGATGTAAAGGAAAGTAAGGTTCTATACTTCACCTGAATTGGTAAAATGTCAATACACATCAGACTGTGACAAATTAAGTATATAATATGAGGGTGTTTCAAAAAGTTTGTGGAAAATTACAATTAAGATAATACAGATCTTTCCACCAACTTTTTGAAGACCCCTTGTATAATGTAACATTTAAAGCAACCACAGAAAAGCTACGCAAAGAAATGCATTCAAAAATACTATAGACAAAAATAAAATTCTAAAAAAATGGTTCACATAACCTACAGGAATTTAGGAGGGAAAAACCCAGACAGAAATGAATAAATAAATAAAATGGCATACTTAATGTAATTACTGATGTTAAGAATAAAATATAAATGGTCTACATACACCAACTAAGACTGGCAGAGTGGATTAAAAAAATATATGGCTCGGGCCGGCCCGGTGGCGCACTGCGCTAGTGCGCCGCTTGGGAAGTGCGGAGGCGCTCCCGCCGAGGGTTCGGATCCCACATACAGACCGGTTCCCGCTCACTGGCTGAGCGAGGCGCGGGGG